GGGTTCCAGTGAAGATGGCAGTGTAGGTAAATATGATACTCAAATTCTCCCACAACTACATCAAAATTACAACTAAACTAGAAAAAACTCATCACTCAGAACCGCCTGAAATCTAGCTAAACAGAACTCCTATAACTAAGGATATAAAGAAGAAGCTACACCAGACTGGTATCAGGGGTGGAGACACCAATGTGCTGGTCCTCTACCCACAGTAGTGGATAAAAATCAGGAGTTATATCTCTTTGTAATTATTAAGTACTCTTACCAATTAAATGCAATGAGAGATCATGGAGTGGATCCTGTACCAGAAAAAGGACATTAATAGGAAAAATTCAAATAAGGTGTATAGTTTACTAATATTATACCAATGCTAATTTCCCAGTTTCAGTACTTGTATAATATATTAATAATAAGGAAAGCTAGATGAAGGGTATATGTGAACTCTCTACTACACATTTGCAACTTTTCTGTAAGTCCAAAATTATTTCAAAACATTTACAAAACTGAAGGCATTTCCAAACAAACAAAAGCTGAATTTGTCACCAGCAGACCTGCAAGAAAATTCTTTAAGTTGAAAGAAAACAATACCAGATGGAATCCCAGAGCTACACAAAGGAATGAAGAATTCTGAAAATGTAAATGTATGGGTGAGTATAAATGACAAATATACCCATTTTTCAATTTCTTTATAACTAGAGGCCCGGTGCAAGAAATTCGTGCACAGGTGGGGTCCCTAGGCCTAGCCGGCAATCAGGGCCTATTGGGGCCATCTCGCCCAGTCCCGATTGGGGCTGGGCCAGCCAGGGCCTGCCAGCCAAGGCCTGTTGGACAGGGCCTGCCGGACAAGGGGAGGGATCGCAGGAGGTTTGCGGCCATGGGAGGTTGGCTATGGGAGTGCTCTGACCACCAGGGGCAGCTCCTGCATTGAGCATCTGCCCCCTGATGTTCAGTGCACATCATAGGACTGGTCAACTGGTCGTTCTGGTCATTCCAGTCATTCGGTTGTAACAATCACTTAGGCTTTTATATATATAGATGGATTTTTCAAAGCAAAAATAATAATGTATTATGAGGTTTATAACACAGAAGTAAAATATATGATAATAGCACAAAGAAAAAGAGTGGAAGTAGAAATATAATGTTGTAAGGTGTTTATATTTTATTTGAAGTAGGAAATACTTAAAGGTAAATGTGATAAGTTGAAGATTCATTGTAAACCCTAGATTCTAGGGGCAGGGAAAAAAACTAAAAACACTTTTAAAAGAAGTATAACTGAGAAGCTTAAAGAGAAGATAAAACAAAACACTAAAAATATTCAATTAATCCAAACATATGGTATAAATAGAAAAGAAACAGAAAGAGGGCATACTTGAATCCAACAATATTGGTGATTACATTAAGTATGAATGGGCTAGATACACCAATTAAAGGGCAGGGGTTGTTAACCTGGATAAAAGACCATATCCCAATAACACACTGTCAAAAAGAAGCACTCTTTAAAAAATATAGACAGGTTAACAGTAAAACACTGGTAAAAAGATATACCATGAAAATTCTAAGCCAAAGAAAGCCAGAGGTGCTATATTAATATCGAGTAGTCTTCAGGGCAAGGCAAATTTCCTTATAAAAGAGTCAAATCATCAAACTAAGAACAGACCTTTAAAATACGTAAAGCAAAAACTGACATAACTAAAATGAGGAGACAGTCCACAATGTGAGTTGGAAATTTTAACATACTCTCTCAATGACTGACAGAATAAGTAGGCAGTAAATAAGGGATACATGAACAGTACCAAGTCCCAATTTGACCTAATTGACATTTGTAGAATGCTATCCCAACAACTCCAGAGTACATTTTATTTTTAAATGCACATGAAACATTCACCAATATAGACAATGGATCATAAGACAACTCTGTAAATGGGTCATTAAGACAACTTTCAATGAAGTTAAAATGAGCAAGGTAATACTGAATACATGTTCTTATGTCAACAATTAAATTAGAAATCAATAACAAAAGATACTGGTAAAATTCCAAAATTATTTAAAAGTTAAACAACACATTTCTAAATAACCCAGGGGTCAAAGAAATCTCAAGGGAAATTATATAACATTTTGAACTTAATGGTAATGAAAATGTAACATACACAAATTTCCAAGATGCATCTAAAGCAGTGCTTAGAGGAAAACATTGCTTTAATGTTTAAAATCAATGAACTTAGGTTCCTCTTTAAAATAGCTTTTTATTTTAACTTTAAATAATAAAGAATTAAAATTAAAAAATAATAATAAAATAGCTTTTTTATATTAGAAAGAAGAGATAAGTAAACCCAAAAGAAGTAGACAGAAATAATAAAAATTAGAAATCAATGATATAGAAAATGGACAAACAGAGATAATAATAAAATCATAAATTGGTTCTTTGAAAAGAACAAAAATATTAATAAGCCTTTAGCTAGACTGATCATTAAAAAAAACACAAACACAAATTACCAATCTCAGCAATGAAATAGGGGAGGATCACTACATATCTCATAGATGTTAAAAAATAATAAGGAAATACTATTTTTAAAAATGTTATGTCAATTGATTTTATAATTTAGATGAAATGGACTAGTCCCTTGAAATAAAAATTACCTATATGTATTTTTAAAAATAAAGAAACATATTCCCAGAAAGAAAGCTCCATGCCCAAATACCTCCAATAGTGAATTCCATCAAACATATAAGAAATGATACTAATACAGTGGGGCCTTGACTTACGAGTGTCCTGACTGACGAGTTTTTCAAGATATGAGCCGTCTCTCGTCCAATTTTTTGCTTTGAGTTGGGGCCTTGACTTATGAGTGTCCCGACTAATGAATTTTTTGAGATACCAGCTATCTCTGGGCCGATTTTTTGCATTGAGTTGATAGAGTAATTTCAGTTAACGAGCTCCTTAATGAGCTCCTTAACGAGCTCGGTCTCGGAACGAATTAAACTCGTAAGTCAAGGCCCCACTGTATTATATAAAATCTTCAAAAAACAGAAGAAACATTTGCCAAATCACTTAATGAAGATTGCCTGATAACAAACCAAACAAAGACATCAAATGCCAGCATTTCTCATGAACAAAGACACAGAAAATCCTAACAAAATGTCAGCAAGTAGAGGTTAGCAAGATATAAAAAGAATAATATATTAGAACCAAGTAGGACTTATATCAGGTTAGTTTAACATTTAAAAAAATTAATCAGTGTGATTCATCATATTATCAAAATAAAGAAAAAAAATGTCATCTTCATAGATACATAAAGGCATTTGACAAAATTAAGCACCCATTCATGATGAAAAACTTTCTGTAAACTATAGAAGACATCGTCATCAAGTTAATAAAGGGCATCTATGAACAACCTCTAGTTAACATTAACATCATATGTAACAGTGAAAGGCTAAATGTTTCCCCCAAAGATGGGAACAAGGCAAGGATGTCCACTCTAATCACTTCTGTTCAACATTGTACAGAGGTCCTAGCCAACTGCAGTTTAACAAGAAAAAGAAATAAAAGGCACATAGATTACAAAGGAAGAAATAACATTTGTTCACAGGTGAATTAATTGTATACACAGAAAATCCTAATAAATCTACAAAAAGCGACTTCTAGAATTAATAAGGGAATCAAGCAAGGTCACATGATACAAGTTCAAAATTAAAAAGCCACTTGGATGTTTATAACTAGCAACAAACAATTGGAAAATGAAATTCAAAAATATCATTTACAATAGCATAAAAAATAAAAACTTGTAGTGAAAGCTATAAAACCCTGCTGAGATAAATTAAGAAAGATATAAATAAAGGAAGGGGGAGTGGGAAGAGAGTAGGCAAAGAACTTGTATGCATATATGTATAACCCATGAACAGACAATAGATTGATGAAAGCCTGGGGAGGGAGTGGGAAGAGGGTACAGGGGGTCAATGGGTTTGGCTGGTTTGATTCGCTGGATAGAGTGTTGGCCTGAAGACTGATTCCAGTTAAGGGCTTATGCCCAGGTTTCAGGCTCGACCCCCAGCAGGGGCATGCAGGAGGCAGCAGATCAATGATTCTCTCTCATCATTGATGTTTCTATCTTTCTCTCCCTCTCCCTTACTCTCTGAAATCAATAAAAATATATTTACATTTTTAAAAAATAAAAAGTCATGTATCTAACTCAGCATTGTTGATATGTCCACTGTCTCCAAACGGAGCTGTAGATTCAAAGTCCTCGCAGGCGTCTTTGTAGAAATGGGACAAACTGATTATAAAATTGACCCAGAGATGCAAAAGTAGCCAAAACTATTCTGAAGATAAACCAAGTGGGAAGACTGGCACTACCTGATAAGACCGACTATAAAGCCATAGCTTTCCTAGCTAAGAGTAAACACACAGATGAATGGAACAAAGTAGAGTCCAGAAACAGACCAAAACATATATGGCCAATTGGTTTTCAACGAAATATTTCATGCTCAAACATACTGCTTTCATCATATGGAATGGGTGATTTGAAAACTGATTCTGGAACAAATTGACACTTAAAAGGTTTCCCCCGCCCCTCAGTTTGTCAGACCTACTCCCTGGCCTTGAAGCGGAGCCTGACCTCCCACATTTCATACCCTGGGACCACACCTCCAGGATTCACTCAAATAGTCTCAGTCCTTGTATGGGCTCAGCCATCTGCTCCAGCTCTGTTGCTCTGTCTCCCTGGCTCCCCAAACCCTGACCTCCTGATGCAGCTCCAAATATCAGTATCAGGACTGTCTCCTCATGTCAGGACCCACTTCTTCAGTTTACCTACCTGTTACCCTACCTGTTCAACTCTGCAATCTGCCATGGTTGCTGCCAACACCAACTGTGTACTGTTAGACACTCCCTTGGCCAGTCTCAGCTCCCTGGGAACCTCTGGCCCCAGCTCCCAGCACATAGAACCCAGGACACGGTCGCAACCACAGTATGATTCAAGGCCATGGGACGGAGTGCCATCTACCTGAGCAGTAAAGAGCTGGAACTCGTCAGGCAGAATCCAAGAGCGAGGGTAGAAGTTGTACTCCTCAGGAAAGAGATTCTGCATAATTCTCACTGCTCTGCTCAGAGTAATTTTACGCACCATCTCCGTCATGCCTGGGGAGGAGAGAAGCTGTGAGGTTTTAACAATAGTGGGCCACTAGCTATAAAACAGCCATTGTTTGGGACTTTTAAAACCACCCACCCGACATAGTCACTTTTCAGACTGGATAAAAAAAAGGTATGAGTTGTTCCCCACGGCGGTGACTCATGGTTTGTTAAGACCTACCAAATTAATGAAAAATTTGAGGTGATAGGTGAATTTTTTTCCTTATAAAAATGAAACATCAATTCAAAGGAATGAGTTTCCACCTAGCTTATTACTCCATTCTTTGTCAGCCACCTAGATAATGAATAAAGGGAAGCAGTTATAGCTTACATTTAAAACTTAGTATCTTTTTAAAATTTGGGGCAACCATACATATTTCTGGGATTCCTTCCATCTTATACCCTAGAGAATAGTGTCTAGTAGACTGTGCTTACATCATGAGAAGCTTAATTAAATTGTTTTAATCTTTTATGAGTATTAAATGTATAAAATAAAAATATATACACCTTTCAGTATAAAATCTATCTCCCTAAAATAAGGACAGGGACTGGAGAAGATACCACAGTAGAACTATAGTTTAAGGGGAAAATGGAATCCATAGGAGTTCTTCAGTTCTAGGTACTGATGCGGACATTGACCAGATCTCAATAATTTATCCGGAGGGAACTGAAATATCTCACTTATAAAATATTTGAAAAGAATGGTGGACTTCCCCCCACACACACACATCTTTAGTAACACTGACAAGAGAAGTGAGTGTTTATCCTGGCAAATTTTAAGCAAATTATTTTATATTTTGGCATGCTTATTTCTCAAAGCAAATATTGCCGCTAAAAATGGCCTTCACAACCTAGCCTGTTTGGCTCAGTGGATAGAGTGTCGGCCCGAAGGGTCCTGGGTTCGATTCCCGTCAAGGATACATACCTCTGTTGCAGGCTTGATCCTGGCCCTGGTGGGGCACGTATAGGAGGCAACCAATCGACGTGTCTCTCTTACATTGATGTTTCTCTCCCCCACCCTTCCACTCTCTTTAAAAATCAATGGGAAAATACCCTCGGGTGAGGATTAACATCCAACAACAACAAAAATGGTCTTCACCCTGAGAGAGCTACATAGTCCCATTGCTGACACTAGAAAATTGCTGAGATAAGTATTTTGGGTGTTTTTTTTAATCCTTGACTGGAATTGAACCCAGGACCCTTCAGTCTGCAGGCCAACACTCTATCCACTGAGCAAAACCAGCGAGGGCTGAGCAAAGTTATTTTTAATAGAAAGTACCAAGCTTCATGTTAGCTTGGCATGTCCGAATTATCACACCTTCCAAGAGGGCACGGCACAATCAGATTGAACGAGGTTTCTCTAAACTGCCATGTGCAGGAAGCAAAGGGTAAACACTTGAGAATGGAGGTTTTAATAACCTACTTCTTGATTCCCTCAGCATATTAAAAAGAGCGATACACCTAAAAATTGCAGCTTCACCCTGTCAATGCCCAGGTTCTTAGTTCTTGTTTAGAAGGATATAGAGAAGGATTAAGCAAGAAATAAAGGGGCTTAAAAAGTTCTAATAAACTATGCTCTAATGTGGACTCTTCGATATATAAAAAAAAATAAACTCACTGAGAACACTGTCCTGAGCTTCCCAAGAAACATGCATGAGTTTGGAAAATCAAAGCTCTTCCTCTTTATTCCCCTATGAAATTTTGAGTTATAAACACTGGAGCTGAACATAGGGGACACAAAAACAAATTGTCCGTTTTCTTGGGAACTCTTTACTCGTGTCTGACAAAGGTTTCCATTAGTATTAAACTAAACCCTCGGAACGCACTGGGGCGCAGCACCTTACATCACACAGATGCTACCTCCTGACCAGAATGCGGTGGTATGCTCCGCATCAGGGCGCTGTAAGCGGGAAAGGCTCAGAAACCCCTCAGCAGGTCAGAAGGACACACATAACAGACAGAAGTGCTGTGAGAACAGGAGCGCCATTTGAATGTTCCAGAAAAGTTTTATGAAAATTGAGGTCCAGCAAGTGAAGTAAATATTCATTTTCAATCTGCAGTAACTCCTTCTGTGCTGAGGATCAGAGGTCCCTACACCAGCTAAGGTTCTGTTTCCGAGTTTACCTTTGTGTCTGTCTCCAGGTAGTTCTTTACTGAAGACAGTCAACTTCAGAGGCAGTCCTGCCAACCAATGGCTACTTTTCCCAGACCCTGCCGGCATGCTGGCTGTAGGCAGCTGAGCCCTAATCCCGCCAGTACACCTGTCTCCAGCAGGCACCTGTGCAGACCTCCCTCAGTCCACTGACCACCAAAGCCTTTGTTCCCCTACCATATCTTGGCTGTGATGCCCCCAGTGCTGCCAGGAAGAAGGTCTCCACCCTTCACTTGAGCCCATGAGGATGTTGCTGGCATCCCTACCCTCTGGCAGTGGCTCAGAAACAGATGTGAGGCGTGCCATCTTCTCTCAATAAGACGCTGGCAAGAGTAGCGGCCTTCTAGCTGAGCCAGAGCCCGTGTTCCCAGAGTAAATGTGTGAGTAGGGAGGTCACTGCCAGAATCTGTCTCCCTTCTGTAAGCAGCTACAGCGCCTGACCCTATCTGTGACCCCTGCCCTAGGCTTTGGGACCCGTTCTGACCTGAGGTGGAGCCTAGGTCTAACCATCAGTTCCCAAAACTAGGAACAAGGCACTCTTTGACCCCCAACTTTGTAGTCCAATTAAATAAGGAGGAGTTCAACTGCTTTTCTGGGGTTCCATTGCTTTGTCCCCAATTTTTAGATACGTCTTTTGTTCCTGGTACCTTAGTAATGCCTTTGCCTTGTTCTCTCCAATGTTCTTCCTCTGTCCTCCCTAGCCTACTCTGCAAGGGCTGGGGTCCTCCTGTCTGTGGCTTCAGGACCTACAACAGGTTCTTTTGAGGCTGACTGGGTACCTGGGTTTCTCATTGAGGTCTCTCCCAAGATGTCCCTGTCTCGGCAGTTCCCCTATCGACTGGGAAACCCGCTAACACAGGTTGAAGCTTCTCACACCAAATCTTGCCTCCTGCCACTCTC